CCCTACAGACTTCATTAATCAAAAAGAATAAATCAGACACATGGTTATACTCTTCTACTTGGCTTTTCTCTCAGAGTGTGTATTCCTCCAGCATGGTGGGCCTTGTGCCCCTCTTGTCTAAGCCCTGTCAGGAAAGTAACCCTTACCCAGTTTCAGAGCTGTATGGGTGAAGCAGCCTGGGTGCTAATGGAACAAGCTACCTCAGTAAACACTCTTGCCTGCTGCAGCCACACTCCCAGGAAAGCCAAGAAACATTATTTCCATACAGGTGATGAGGGAATTTTATTATGGGCCTTGATACTCTATACCGAGGAACACCTATCTAAAGATGTTTCTGGGTTAGGAAACTACCCACCATCACCAGCACAACTGTTCTGCCTGCCCACCCGCCCCTTCACTGCCGTCAAAACAGCAGGAACAAATACCACCCACTCCTGATTCCTCAAGGAAAAGGCAGGTCTCTTTTTATGTCTCTTCAACTTAACCTAGTTAACCTTTCTCTATAACTTGATTTTAAACCCATTTACTGGTGCTGTGAGAACACATGGCTTGAGACATTGAGGAGATTACTTAGGTCAGGCAGGCACTCCCTCTCTGGCTCCTGCTTTCACTGTGGTGCTGCAGTCAAGGGCAGTGTCTCCTGTGCAATGTGAAGTCCAGGTTGCTATTCGCAGAGTGCTCACTATAGATCACTATCTTGAGTACCCATCAAAATAAGCATTCTGTTCCCTTTTAATAGACTGTTTACTAAAGTATAAAATAGAACCCTCCTACCGCATGGCACAGGATCAAACTGCTGCCAACCTGGTCAGATCAAGGTTTAGACCAGTTTCCTGTTCTTACTAGCCATGTACTATGTAATTGTTTCTTTATAAGTAAAACCATGTACTTTCCAGGATTCCTTTTTTTTTTTTTTAAAGTTTCACAGCAGTCTGCTTAGTCTAACTAGGTTCCTCCACTACAAGAAAAGGAATAACTTAGAATGAGATGGCTAAGCAGTGACCATTCCAAAATGTTTTTTTGTTGTTGATTTTTTTTTTTGGTGGGGGGCGGGAACTGGGGATTGAACCAGGGCACACTTAACCAGTAAGCYACATCCCCAACCTTTTTATATTTTATTTAGAGATAGAGTCTCACTGAGTTGCTTAGGGCCTTGCTAAGTTGCAGAGGCTGGCCTTTGAATTGGTGATCCTCCTACCTCAGCCTCCTGAGCTGCTGGATTGCACAACCATTCCCGGCTAAATGTTTTGTTTTGATGGCTGGGGAACTTTGTATGAGGCTTCATCCTAAATTCATGTCCTTGGTCCCAGCATGCAGAGTCAGGGCAGTACTAGTAATAACAGTCTACCACAGTTTATGTCACAAACAAAGGAACAGAAGCACTGCAAGATAAAAGAACTTCACCCCACCCAGCGTTATACTGGTCAGTGACAGAGCTAGAATTTGAACTGACTTGAAAACCCAAGATTTCTGAACCACACAACACAACCTTAGAAGTAAAGCCTGGCCACATTGGCTGAGGGCCAGCCTTGTGACAGTCCTAGGGACCTCCAGAAAGGAGGGTGGAGAGAGTAGGAAGGAGGAAGAGGGGAGGAGCCTCTGGGCTCATTTCCTCCAGAGCCACCTGTTCCCACCCACCAGGGTACACAGTATCTGACTCTGCCTGCGCTTTCTGGTTAGGAGGGGGGCTTTATCTTTTGTGCCTTGAGCCCCCCCCCCACTTTTTTCTCCTTGCTCTGCTCTGTTCTGCTTTCTCTCCTTGTTCTTTTTTGTAGATAATACTCCTACGGACCTCCCACGGCAGCTCCAAAATGCAGCCTCCTGAGTTTCTTGTTGACAAAGGCTTTTAGCTATCTGAACAGGGCCCCCTCTCAGCCTACCCCTCTCTGCAACTCTCTACCATTGCCCAGAATGAGTGGAGAATGGGGAAAGGGGAGAAGAAAAGACTAGAGTAATGAGGACCTTAGTTCCCTACCTTCCAGTGCCCTCTTTAGATTTTTTAACTCCTTTTTACACTCCCCACCCCTCAAGGAGAAGGTAGAGGATTATTCACTAAGGACTGAGGGGACATATATGAACAAATGCCAAATCTGAACAGAGATCTGAGTGGCTGATAAAAGTGAAGAGAGAGGAGAGTCTGAGTCCCTATATCTGAACATATTATCTAAAAAGAAAGGTCAGACTAAGGGAAAGACTCTGTAGCTGCATCCCCATCCCTCCACATGTTCACATTCGTTGAGGGACTATAGGGAAAGAGTTTAAAGGCCTAAACTGCTGTCTCACTTTGGGATAAGTGATCATAACCATAAGTATCAGTGTATCTTCTGGAAGTGGGAACCAGCATTATGCCTGGAGCTGTGAGTAGGGACAGTGCATCTCTGCCTCGGTATTTTCATATGTAAATTGGTAGTTATTAATAATAGTATCTACCTTATAGAGTTACTGTGAGGATTAATGGGACAATCCAAATAAAACATTTAGCACAGTGCCTGGTACAAAGTTAATGCTCAATAAATGTAAACTCCTGTAATTCTTAAGGGCACTGCATCCATCCATCTACTCCCCCACCATTCACCCAGTGTCTGGCTTGGCTTAATTCCCCAAACTAGCCCAGAGTATTGATGTGGAACCCTGAAAATCTGAACATTTTTTTGGCCTTACAGGCCACTCCAGGACCACCAGGACCTGATACACAATCCCAGATGACCAGTGCATTGAGTACCCAGACAGCCTCAACCATTCTTTCTGGGCCCTAATAATGGTAGACAGCTATGTTTGAGGGAAGCAGAATCTGGATTTGGAGTTGGGAGATTGTCAAGGATGGAACCCAGGCTCTGCCACTTACCAACTTTGTTACCTTGAGCATTTCTCTCCTTCTCCAATCTCTCTGCCTGTGTTACTTGTATCTGAAATGGCTATCCTGGCTATTTCACAGGTGTCCTGAGAGACTCATAATCAGGTAATATTTGCATGATGAAAGTCACATTCTTATAGGTCATTTATATGTTTTCACTCAATCTGCATAACAACTCTCTGAAGTCATTATTAGCATCCCCATTTTACAGATGAGAAAACCAAGTCACTGAAAGATCAATAATTTGCCTAAAAAAACCACCCAAATAGCAAGTGGCAGAACAGGATTCAAACCGATGTAGCTTGGTTCCCCATCCAGCAGGTGCTTTCAACCTTAGCCTCACCAGTTCTCTAAGTGAGCTAACAGCAAAAACCCCCTTCAGTTAAGCAGAATGCTGGACTATCTCCTGGAGGGGAAGAGGTGAGGGCTGCGGGTAGGGGTTGTTTTGCAGCTCCAGACCTGCCCAGGAGATGGGACATGATCTGCGACTCTAGATTCCAAGGTTGGAGAACGGAGGGAGAGGAGCGCTGCTCTCTTCCCAAAGCACCCGTTCATTTTAATACAAGTGTCTTCGGCTTTGGCTTTCCTCGCTGATGAGGGTAGGTGGAGCGGGGGACACTTCTTTCTTTCCAACGCTGGAGGCTGTGGGTGTGTCTCCTCGAGGGGTGGGGGTACTGAGCCTCCTGCTTTACTCGTCCGGGAACAAATTGCTGTTTTGGCCGCGGCGGCTCTTCTGGGCGCGGGCGGCAGCCGCGTTCGCTGGCAAATCGTGGGAAGGAGGAGGAGCGGCGCTGGCAGCAAGGCAACGGGGACCGCGGCGGCGCGGGAGATGGACTGGAGACAGCAGTGCGTCCCGCCCGGTCCCTGCTCCGCACCTCCTCCCTGTAGCGCAGGGTCCAGCGCAGAGCCGAGCTCCCTGGGACTGACACGAGTGGGCCCGATCTTCCTCACTCCCGAACTGCAAGACCTGCATGCCTAAGATTAGGAAGTTTTCCCCAGCGTCTGACCTCTAGCGGTCTCCGACCCTGTAGCGCGACCTAAGAGCAGAAAAGGTGACAGGCTAGACAGAAGCATAGAGCGAGACAAGGGTCTAGGTTCCTTTCTCCACTGCACTCCTTCTCCACTCTGGAGTCAAACGAAAGCCATCCGAATCACACTCCTAGGGCTACCCACCCTCCAATTTTCTCAAGAATGCTGCCTGCAGTTGCATCTCCTAGTAGCAGCTCCATTTTCCAGAGTCAAGCTAAGGCTAAGAAAGGCTTGCACGCCCCAAAGCTGTATTCAGAAGCCCCTCCCCTGCGCAGTTTGAGTTCCTCTGGGGCCTAAACCTCCACCAACCACCCAGCCTTCACCGCCTCCTGGTCGCTAGTCCCCTTTCCTATGACACTCTTCTCTGGAAATGCATCTTCTATCACATACATCCCCCCGCCCCCCACACACACCCGAGCCCTCCTCCAGTCCCTCCAGGGAAGGAGAGGCTGCTAGGAGGCTCTCAGAGAACTCCCAGTCTGTAGAGAAGACGCCTCGCCCCTGCGGCTGAGGCTGAGTCAGCCTGAGCAGACCAGGCTGCCATTCTCCGAGGGGCGGGCGGAGCGGCCAGGGCGGTCTGAGCGGCAGGGACAGTGGGGCGGCAACCTCCCCCTGCCCTCGCCGAGGTCCCGAGGGGAGGGGGACAACTCGGCAGGAGGCCTGTCCCTTTAAGGAGGCGGCCCTGACTGGGTGTGCCCCGTCTCCATGGTTACCCCGGTGCAGGCGGCGGCGCGGGAGGTTGGGAGGGAGGCTGCCGCTTCTCCCCGACAGACGGAGGGAGCTGCGGGGATCCGGCGGTGGCGCCAAGCGGAGCCACCCGCAGCAGAGACGGGAGCCCAGCGGGCGAGAGGTGCCGAGAGGGCAGCAGCTTCGGAGCTTGGAGCCCGGGATTCGTGGGCGGCGAGGGCTCTAGGGGCCGCGCGCCATGCTCAGGGCCCCGACGGCGCGGACGCCCCCTTGCGCGCTGGCGGCTGGCGGGGCCTGAGAGACCCTGTTGGGCATTGCCCCCCGACGGCTGCTCTAGGGGGCGCAGGGCCCGGAGGGGGGCGGGCGCCCTCCCCGGGCGCTGAGTCCCCGCGCCCCGGAGGGATGGGGCCGGCGGCCGAGGCCGCCTAAGATGCCGGCCATGCGGGGGCTACTGGCGCCGCAGAACACCTTTCTGGACACCATCGCCACACGCTTCGACGGCACGCGTGAGTCAAACCCTAACCCCTAGCTCCCGGACAAACGATCCCCATCCAGGACTGCAGCCAGCCCTAAGCCCCACTTGTCGGCTTGGCGCCCACAAGTTCTCACCTTCTCTCCCTTCCTCGTCCCTCTGAAGCGGGGACCATTGTATACTTCAAGGCACCGTTTCCCTGAAGGGTTCAGGTCAGTGCAGCTCCTGGCGAGGCAACACTGGGTAGAAGATGTCCCTTGATGTGGAGCCCGGGATGCATTCTGTTCCCAGGAGCATGAATCCGGACCTAATCAATCAGACCCACCTCCTGATCTGGCGCTGTTACAAGGACTACCCTCACCCCAACCGGATGGGGGTTGGGGTGAGCAGTGCTCACCGACAGACAAGAGGGGCGCGCGCGCTCACACACACACACACACACACAGAGGGAGAGAGAGAGAGCGCGCTTTGCAAACAGAGATAGAGTAGAGGGTACTCCCGGGAGTACCATGTGTCCAAGCCCATCTTACAGCTTAAATGCACCTGCCTCAAGGAGCTAAATCAGCCCCAAAGAAGATGGACTTGGGGACTCCCACCAGGATTGAGGAAATTTGGAGAAGGCAACCTGAGCTTCTGAATCCTGTGTCCCTGGGGTTCTGAGCACAGGGAAAGTCATGAAAGTCAGATCCCTTCTGCACATTCACATTTAGTGGAGCTTCCCAGCTCTCTGCATAGTTCTCCATAGTCTCTCATTCTTAATAGGGGGTGAGAGCCAATCTCTGAGCTCTCCCCACTCAGGATTCCTCCATCAGCTTTTCCATTATGCTTGGCTTTTGCGGGCCTGCTGATTCAGCACCCCGGCTCCCCAGTACATGCCTGGCTCTAGTTTTCAGCCACCATTCTTACACCCCCATTCATAATCATACTATTTCTTGAACAGATTAGACAGGTGGGGCTCAAACACTGAGGGCAGATGGACACTGGGCTGGGTTGCTTCCCAGTCCAGGTGGGTCCCAGTTGTAGGAGCCACAGCCAATCTAGTTATCTGGCTTGTGGGTGAGCCTGGAAGAAATAGAGGAGTTGCTGAAGCCAGTCTAGGGCAGGTGGTGTAATCCTTTGGACATCACCAACCCCACTCCTTACCCCAAACTGCTCAGGATACACTCCAGAGGGCACAATGCCCACAAAGGGCTATACTCACCAAACTGTGTTCTTACATGCTTCTCAAATGCATTCAAATACATTGGACTAAGAAGGGACCCTTGCAGGGCACTGACATACAGGTGACACACTGAGTGCCATTCACAAACAGCTCTTGCCCAGTACACACTACAGGTTTCCTGGGATTTGTAAAACCAGTTGTAGACTTTTTGCCTCTTCACTCCTCTAAGAGGTGCTCTCTTGCAGATAGTAACTTCGTGCTGGGCAATGCCCAGGTGGCAGGGCTCTTCCCTGTTGTCTACTGCTCTGATGGCTTCTGTGACCTTACGGGCTTCTCCCGGGCTGAGGTCATGCAGCGGGGCTGTGCCTGCTCTTTCCTCTATGGACCAGATACCAGTGAGCTCGTCCGCCAACAGATTCGAAAGGCCCTGGATGAGCACAAGGAATTCAAGGCTGAGCTGATCCTATACCGGAAAAGCGGTGAGGAGCCATCTTGTCTTACCTTTACAGCCTCAGCCATCCAGATACCTAGTCCATCCACTGTCCCTCCTCCTTTGCCTTCCCATCTTCCCATGCACCATGCACATTTCCATCCCCTCTTTCTCCACYCTACCTCCTCTCCACCATCCTCACCCTAGCTTCAGCCTCTGCTCAGTTCCAGTCTTGGGTTTCCCACATCCAACAGGAAAACATCCCATCTCAGCAGGACACATGTCTGACAGCCATGTCTGCTCTCCCTTGCTCCCCTTGTCCTGAGTGAAGCAGTACTGTTTCTCCTCCCTCAGGAAGCCCTGCTTCTTCTTATGTTTTGCCCAGCATGTCAGTGGACAGGTCCTCTGTCGTCTTAGGCAGGGCTGAGAATGGGAGGTAGGATGAGTCTGTTTTTATGCCCAGGGCTTCCTTTCTGGTGTCTTCTGGATGTGATACCCATAAAGAATGAGAAAGGGGAGGTGGCCCTCTTCCTGGTCTCTCACAAGGACATCAGTGACACCAAGAACCGAGGGGGCCCTGACAGCTGGAAGGAGACAGGTGGGTGCCTGTTGGGGTATTGATTTAGTTGATGTGGCTGTTTGTTGGGTACCCCAGGCTTGGGTAGGGCCTTAGCATCCAGTCTGGGTTTATGGGTCCCCCTCCCTCTTGTACTCACAGGGTCCTACTCTGGCTGGCTGAGAGGGCTGTGCTGCTCTCATCTGTGCATGCCCAGGGATGGGAATCTTATTTCCAAATAGGCCTGTTGAGACAAAGTTGGAGTTTTAAAGTTAACTTTATTAAGAAGTTGAAAGCAAATTCCACTCATGCTTATGAAGCACTCCTTTCCCACTAGTAGTGAGGTTGACCACAGACTTTTCCTTTTCCCCACAGCATACCTGTCAGGAGAGCCCCAGCCTTCTTTTAAATTCTTGGAGTCTTTCCCCCACCTTTTCTCCCCAGAGACATAGACAGAGGTTTATTTAGGAAAGCAACTATGTATTCAAGGGCTATCTCCAGAGAGAAGATAGCACTTGCTCCCTTCTTGTGTCCCTCCAATGGCTGGGGCAGGCCTTTGGGCAGGTCACAGAATTGTCATCAGATGCTGCTCCAAGGACTCTTGGGATATAGGGGGCACATTCCATTCCAATTCTCTACCCCACCCCTGTGTCTGCTTCTCCAATATCGTCAATATCACCTTCTGACCCCTGCATCTGAACCCTGGGCTCCTTCTCTGAGCTCCCACACCTCTGATGATGGCTTTCTACTAACTCTGCCTTCCTTCTCTGTGACCAAACTCCCTCTCCCAGGCCTTTCCCTGTAAACCTTCTCCTGTTTTCTCCTGGAAACCTTCTAGAAGTGGTGTCTATAATGCCAATCTGCCCATTTCTATGCTTGGCAAGTGGCTTCAGGAAATAAGGAATGCCTAAGCCCCCAACTCTAAACAGACAAAATGGTCAATAAGCCAGATCAGTCCATGGGCCAGCAACTGGTGTCCCACACCCAGAACCCTGTGATGGGGTATGTGGGTATACCCCACACCATCTTTATGGGCCCCTCTTCTTTTTCAGGTGGTGGCCGGCGCCGATATGGCCGGGCAGGAGCCAAAGGCTTTAATGCCAACCGGCGGCGGAGCAGGGCTGTGCTCTACCACCTCTCTGGGCACTTACAGAAGCAGCCCAAGGGCAAGCACAAGCTCAATAAGGTGGATTAAATACTAGGGTGTGTGTTTGGGATGGGGAACAGGAAGAGGACATGGAAGAGGGGAACTCCCACCAGAGAGAAAGAGTCCTGGAAGCCACCCAGGCCCCACCTCCATTTCTGGGGTTGGGACTGAGGGAGGGACTGTCTCATGTCTGACCCATCAAAGGTCTTGGCTTTAGACTCAGATGTGCCTTAGCTCAATCCTTGCTTGTCCCCTAAATAGCTGTGTGACCTCAGTTAAGTTATTTGATTTCCCAAAACCTCTTTTGTTTTTTGGTACCTGGGATTGAACCCAAGGGCACTTTTCCACTTTCTTGATTGTTTTTTTTTTTTTTTTTTGTTTTGAGACAGGGCCTCACCAAGTTGCTTAGGGCATCACCAAGTTGCTTAGGGCCTCACTAAGTTGCTGAGGCTAGCTTTGAAACTGCAATTCTCCTGCCTCAGTCTCCAGAGTCATTGGGATTATAAGTGTGTGCCACCATGCCTGGCAAACTCCTTTTTTTTTTTTTTAATCTACAAAATGGGGATTCTAATGCTCACCTCAGAGGTTGCTTTGAGAGTACAGGGAGAGGTAAATGCCTTTCTCAGACACTATCCAAACTCAGCCTGTGCCATTATCCTTTCCTCCCTGACTGGATCTGCCCTGCCTCACTCAGGGAGTATTTGGGGAGAAGCCAAACTTGCCAGAATACAAAGTTGCTGCCATCCGGAAGTCACCTTTCATCCTGCTGCACTGCGGGGCACTGAGAGCCACCTGGGATGGCTTCATCCTGCTCGCCACACTCTATGTGGCTGTCACTGTGCCCTACAGTGTGTGTGTGAGCACAGCCCGGGAGCCCAGTGCCGCTCGTGGCCCACCCAGTGTCTGTGACCTGGCCGTGGAGGTCCTCTTCATCCTTGGTATGTGTACTCTGCTCCTTCCTCTTCATTCCGTGTCAGACACCTTCGGGCTTTGATGGGAATCATCTGTATGGCTTCCAGTCCCCCACTAGTGTCCCCTTTGCCCTCCCTGTGTTTGTGACTCATGAGCTTTGAAATCAGATCTAGGTTCCAAATGTGTCTCTGCTTCTAATGTGGTATAGGACCCTGAGCTAGTCATRGCCTCGCCAAGCCTGTTTCTCTCTCCATAAAAGAGGCAAAATAATGTGTGCCTGCTTGAGTTACTGTGACAGTTATGTCATACTGTGGCATATGTGAAGGGCTCAGGATAGTGTCAAGTACTGAGCAGGTGCCCAGTGGTAAACAGTGACTGCCCACCCCATACTGACTCCCACCTGATTCCCTGCAGATATTGTGCTGAATTTCCGCACCACATTTGTGTCCAAGTCGGGCCAGGTGGTGTTTGCTCCAAAGTCTATTTGCCTGCACTATGTCACCACCTGGTTCCTGCTGGATGTCATCGCAGCGCTGCCCTTTGACCTACTACATGCCTTCAAGGTCAATGTGGTCAGTGTGGCTGGGCTGGGTAGGGGGGCTTTGGGCTGGTACAGGCACAGCCAGCCTGAGATGACTATCCTTCCCCATCTCAGTACTTTGGGGCCCATCTGTTGAAGACCGTGAGGCTGCTGCGCCTGTTGCGCCTGCTGCCACGCCTGGACCGGTACTCCCAGTACAGCGCTGTGGTACTGACCCTGCTCATGGCTGTGTTCGCCCTGCTCGCCCACTGGGTGGCCTGCATCTGGTTCTACATCGGCCAGCAGGAGATTGAGAGCAGTGAATCTGAGCTGCCTGAGATTGGTACTGGAGGTTGGGGTGGGTGTGTGCATGCTGAGGAGTGATGCCCGGTGTCAGAGATGTGTGCAAGTTTGCAAGTGTGTGACAGATGAGGGGTATGCCGGTGTGTATGACAGCCACCATCGTATGGCTGCTCTCTACCAGCTGGCCATTGTATAGACAGCCTGGTTGTGTAGGCTGCCTGGGGAGTTTCAGTCACCCATTGTGTCTTCCTGGTAGTCAAACCTTTGTCACATTCCTAAGGCCCTTGCCCAACTGGGAAGGCCAGGGAGGGAGCTGCTGCCCTTGCCTTTCCTCTAATGTCACCCTCTACGAAGCTTGTACCCATCAAGGATCCCAGGCCCTTGCCTCACTGTTGTCACCTACAGCCCACATCTCTCTCAGCTGTGTCCACATTCTCCCTGAGCCTAAAAAAAAAAAAAATTTCTGTGTCCCTAGTGTCTTTGCTCTCCTCCATTTCACCTTCACCGCCACAGCTCCTCCCTTTGCTCACCACCCACTCAGTCTTAACTGCCTCCAGGAGGGCTTCCACCCCCACCTTCCCACCCAAAATGTTGTGTGAAAGGTTGCAGTGACCTTCTGGGGCCAAACCTTTGCCTTCTGTGAAGTCTCTATAGCAGCTAACCCTGCTGATCATGCTCTCTTGCCTTGGGAAGGATAACCCTGGTCTGGCCCCCTTCTTCCCCAGCCCCTCCAAGTTCTAGAGACTCCAGATAGGCTTTCCTTCCTCCTTACTCGCCTTGTTTTCCCTTGGCCATCCCACTGAGGCTACTACATGAACATTGCAACTCCCATCTTTTCCCTTTATCAGAACCATTCTGTTCCAGCCATTTCTAACTCTATGCTCTCAGTTCCCAAAATGAGTGCACACCTTCCTCCCACAACCTCCAGCCCTCTGTCACTTTGCAGTAACTGACATTTAGTGCATTTCCAGTGCTCAGGCAGCCTCTCATGTCAGTTTGCTCCTTGGTGGGGTCATCAGGAGTCCAGGTCAGTCTCAGAAACCTGCTCTGATCAGTTCCCCAGAGATGATGAGGCTTCTGCAAATCCTCTCCTCCTTGCCAAGTGCACAGGAGATTGGTGTGTGCCTAGAGGTTCCACTTGGTTATTCCCCCGAGGACTCCAGTTGCTGAGCAGGTGGAAACTGGGACACACCAGCAGTGTCAGCTCCTTGGTGCCTGTCCCAGAGGGAGTCTGTGGTGGAGGCTGCTGTGGGGTCAGCAAATGCCCTGACCCTGTTTCTGCCCCTACAAAGTGACCTAAGACACCAAATCCCCAGGTTGGCCCCATCCCCTACAGCAGGCCAGACAACCTTGGCCTTGAGTCCACAAAGCTCCTCTGTTCCAACCACCTCATGGGGGCTGATGATCTGAAATCAAGAATATCTCTGGCTCTCAGAGAAGCTCTGGGCCCTACCACAATGAGCATGGGCATACAGGGGTGACTGAGTCTTGGTAATTCTTTCACCCTTGGTCTGAGTTCCAGAGAGGATTCTTTCCATCTATAACTGGTACTGGTCCACATTAGAAGATTTTGAAGTCCTTTATATTATCACCTCCCACTTCTTCTGGGAAGCTTCTTTATGGCTTTCTTGTGTTAGTCCCCTGTTCTRCTGCCTGTGGTGTGGACAGAGTTCTTTCCCCAGATTCCCATTAGCCCAGTGAAGATGAGCAGTTTTTTTAAAAGATTGTGCTGAATACTGAGGAGAGAATTCAGAGCATTTCTCAGTGTGAAAGGCACCAACCTCCAGGAACAACCTTGGCTGGCCTAACCCCCTCATGCACTCTCCTAGCACTAGCTCTAAGGCTGCTGATGTCCCATGAAAATGAAAAGTCCCTTTTTACCCTCACCTCTCTATCTGGTTGTTTCCTGCCACCACTACTACCCCTTTACCACTGGACATCTGACTACCCAACTAAATAGTGACTGAAGGGTTCTGCGTGTAAAACCCCTCCGTCACATCCCCACAGCACACCTGAGATAACAGGAGTGAAGTCTCATCTTCGTCCAGGCCTTACTGCATCCCACCAAACTCCTTAGCCTGGAATTTGATGCCCTCAGTGTTAACCACACATTCTAGCCACACTGAGCTACTTGACTGTACTTTCTTAAAGTCTCCATCTCCAGGTTTGGCCCATGCCTTTCCCTCTATCAGAAATGACTCCCTCTCAAGTTTGCTTAGATCAAAACCTTCTCTATCCTTTGAAACCAAGCACACACATCCCCSCACTTAGGTTTGAGCCCCCTCATTTGGCACCTCTGGGATGTAGTGACTACTCTATAGTAGTTACTTGTTCTTCTGAACTAGAGTCCTCAAGAAGCTCCTGGCCCTCGGTGCTGAGAGAATGGGTGTATGCATGACAGGAGGGGTGTGGGGACCACAATGACTGCATGCAATAGGTGTCAGGAAGAGGGTGGTACATGATCTGTGTGTTGAGATGGGAGGGCAGAGCGTGTGTGGAGAGGTGGATCCCGCTGCAGCCTGTGACCCTGCACTTGTCCTCTGCCACTCCATTCCCCATCAGCTAAACTGCCCTCTCTCCCATCCAGCACCATAGAGCTCCCACAACCCTCCAGCCAGGTTCACAGTGACTTCTTGAAGGCATAGGCTTCTTAGAGACCCAGTACACAGCTCTGCCTCCTGCCAAGGCCAGACAAGAAGTGGGCCCATACCTGTGTGTGCATTCAAGCATCTGCTTATGTGCACATGCCTGTGCAAGTGCACAGGTGCCTGCTGAGGCCTCTGAATGTATTCACCTATGTGCAAGTGTGCCCCAGGCCTGTGTGTCAGTGTGCAAGCTCCTACGTGCCTTTGCCTCTCTTCAGAGTATACAGAGGCCATTTCAGTGTGAGTGGCTATGACTGTCTGGGCATCTATAAGGTGCTCACATGTGTGTCCTTGTCATCTTGACTGTGTGTGCAGCATGTGTAAGTCTCAGCAGTATCTGTAACCATATCCATATGGGTGTACTTAAGAGCACCTTTGTGAAGTTGGGTGGCTTGTGTGGTTTGGGTGAGGGATGAGGTTGAATGGTGCCAGGGGGAGCATTTCTGGAGCAGATGGGCTGAGACAGACAGGAAGAAGGGTCTGGGTAGAAAGGGCAAAGGAGATGGCCTCTGTTATCCAGCATTAGAGACCAGGCTGTGATTGAATGCCATGAACCCCCGTCTCTATCCCTCCAGCTAGACCCATTCCCTGAGATTAGTACCAGACATAGGAAAGAGGGTGTGATTCTCCTTGCTCCAACCTTGGCACCAACAGGAGCCAGCTGGGGAGGTGGCAACATTTTCCTTATGTGCTTGTCATGCTGAGGGTTGAGAGGGTGGTTGGGTGTGCTGGGCTGGCAGAGAAGGGGAAAAAGTAGTGGGAACTCATGAGGGTGAGTCTGTGTCTGCATGTCCCCAACCCTAGGGGGCTAGCACACCTGTACCCTCAGAGCCGTCAAGTTGTCCTGCCTGCTCAGACCTTTCCCTTGCCCTCTCCCCAGGCTGGCTGCAGGAGCTGGCCCGACGACTGGAGACCCCCTACTACCTGGTGGGCAAGAGACCAGTTGGAGAGAACAGCTCTGGCCAGAATGACAACTGCAGCAGCAGCAGCAGCAGCAGCGAGGCTAATGGGACTGGGCTGGAGCTCCTGGGCGGCCCGTCACTACGCAGTGCCTACATCACTTCCCTCTACTTCGCACTCAGCAGCCTCACCAGCGTGGGCTTTGGCAATGTGTCCGCCAACACGGACACTGAGAAGATCTTCTCCATCTGCACCATGCTGATTGGTGGTGAGGCCTGGCCTGCAGGTTTCTCTGGGCCCACTCCCAGACTGCTGGCCTCAACCCTCCCCTCTCACCTCCCCCAGGGCCCCAGGCCAGGGGTTCTTCTGCCTTAGGTGGTCTGTGGAATACAAGGCCAGGGCTGGGAGAGACACAGGGCTACACAGAGCCCATGTGCCCTGCATAAGAGCATGTGGAGTGGGGAGGGGGCAGAGGACAGATGTGTCCAGCACGGTATCAACCAGGTCAGGCCAGGCCTGCAGATGACCTGCTCTTACTGCCCTCCCCAGCCCTGATGCACGCAGTGGTGTTTGGGAACGTGACCGCCATCATCCAGCGCATGTACGCCCGCCGCTTTCTGTACCACAGCCGCACTCGTGACCTGCGTGACTATATCCGTATCCATCGGATCCCCAAGCCCCTCAAGCAGCGCATGCTTGAGTACTTCCAGGCTACCTGGGCTGTGAACAATGGCATCGATACCACTGAGGTGTGGCAGGCTTCCAGGGTTAGCCCTTCTAGCCTTTTCTCCCTCAAGGGGTTTGCACTTGGCCTAAGGAGTAGGGATGGAGGGTGAGGAATGCCTCCCTGCTTCCGCTCTCCTGTGGGGACAGCAGCCAAGACTCTTGGAGCTCCTGTGGACCCCAGTTAGGACTGGAGGCTCTGTGCTCGCTGAAATCTGAGCCTGAGGTTGGAGGAGGAAAGGGGCTGCTCAGAGAGGACTAAAACCAGGTGTGGTAACACAGGCCTGTAATCACAGCTACTTGTGAGGCTGAGACAGGAGGATTGCAAGTTGGAGGTCAGCCTGAACAATTTAGTGAGACCCCATCTCAAAATGAAAGCTGGGTTTGTGGCTCAGTGGTAGAGCGCCCCTGGGTTCAATCCCCAATACTGCAAGGGGGAAAATTCTGTAAGGAATTGAGAGGGTGGTAGGGCTAGCCCCCTTTACTCAGTGCATCCTCAGTGTGGAGCCTCTGTTGTCACCTCCCCTCGCTCCTAAGGCCTGTGAGGATGGAGAGGGCTTGGCTGGCTGGGATCCCTTCTGCCACCCCCAAACCTCTTCACCTGCTTGCCTGCAGCTGCTGCAGAGCCTCCCTGATGAGCTTCGTGCAGACATCGCCATGCACCTGCACAAGGAGGTCTTGCAGCTGCCGCTGTTTGAGGCAGCCAGCCGAGGATGCCTGAGGGCACTGTCCCTGGCCCTGCGGCCTGCCTTCTGCACACCTGGCGAATACCTCATCCACCAGGGTGACGCTCTTCAGGCCCTCTACTTCGTCTGCTCTGGCTCCATGGAGGTGCTCAAGGGTGGCACTGTGCTCGCCATCCTAGGTTTGTGTGGGTGGGAGAGAGGATACAGTGTGTGCTGTGTGTGTGTGAGAGAGAGAGTGTAGGGGAGACACCATGGCTCTGATCTGCAGGAAACCTAGACAGGGTGCCACAAGGCCCCAGAAGGGAGAAACAGCCAGGATGGAGTCAGGAATAGTCAAGAGTCCTGGGCAAAGGTCAGAGAAAACCCAATGACTGCACCATGAAGACACAGGAGGTGATCATGATCTTGGAGGTGTGCCTGGGAAAGCCAATTTTTTAAAAGGAACCAAGCTTGGACTGGCACACATCTGTAATTTTAGCTACTGAGGAGGTTGAGTTCAGAGGATCACAAATAAGAGGCCAGGCTGGGAAATTTATCAAGACCCTGTCTCAAAATGAAAAATAAAAAGAATTGGGGCTATAGCTCAGTGGTAGAGCACCCCTGGGTGCATAATAATAATTTTTTAAAATAATAAAAGGAGCCAATCTATAAGGAGACAGAAGAGTAGCACTGTCTGGCAATCAAATGCTAAAGATAGAAGTGCTAGGAAAAGTATTCAGACAGGGCTGAAAGAGGAATGAAAGCTGTCCTTGTGTGGGTCCCCTAGGTGGTGGGATGTGACTTCTCTGGGGCAGGTCACAGAGCAGGCCCAGATCCCAGGGTCAGGTCAGCCTCGAAATGGCTAGAGAAACTTGTTCTGGTAAAATGGTACCTGCAGCATGCAGACTTCTCTTCTTAGCAAAAGAAAGGTGAAGATGAGGAACCAATTTCCTAGATGAGGGTGAGGAGATTGCCATTGTGGAATGGCTGTGATAATAATGTTCAGCACAGGGGGCAGACAGCAGTACTAGCCCTGTTCCAGCTCCTTATGTGCCAGATCTAATTCGAACTTTACAGAACAGCAAAGGATTGACTAATGGGTTGGAACCTAGTCTGCTTGACTCTGAATCTCATGTTTACATGCTATTCCCAGGTGCTGTGGGAAGTCATGACCAGCAGAAAGGGAAACATCTCGGGAGGAATAAATGTGGCCCTAGACTTTAGGGAAATATTCAGGCACTTTGGGAAGCATGTGCATGCATCCAGGAAAAGCAATTAAAGAGGAGCATTTCCCTGTGGTTGTGTGAGGCTCTCAGTGGTGACCCCAAAGAATGAGGAACACTAGGACCTGCTTGGGTAAATGATAGACTCATACACAAAATGGAAAGAAGGTGCTGACCTGACCATGACTGACTGCAGTTGAGTACTTAATATGGGGACAACTGAGGCCTGGAGGGACTGAGGTTCATCATTACCTGGTGATCCACAATGAAGACTAGATGTATGGAAAGGAACCCAGAAGGTGGTGCCATGTTACTAGATGCCCTGGCAGCTACAGGGAGTCTATCCTTGTTCCCTTGAGGAAGAGGGACCTCCAATAGAAATAAGAGGCAGAAATGCCAGTAGGAGATCTTGGAGCTTGTGAGAGGTGACAGGCTATTGATGTCCCACCCCCACCCCCTTTTTATAATCTTTCATGAGTCCAACTTCTAGGCCTATAGGAAATTTATGCCAGGACTGAGAAAATGAAGTTTTGATTGGTTGTGGTGGCATGAACTTGTAGTCCCAGCTACTTGGGAGGCTGAGGCAGGAGGATCCCTTGAGCCCACAAGTTCTAGCAACACCCCATCTAAAAAGAAAAAGAAAAAATGGGGTTATACACTCAAGTATGGCTGGTATTTTATGAAGAATTATGGAGAACTAGGGATCAGAAGGATGGAAAGGCAGATTTTGACTATTGAGGACTAGACAATGCAAAGAAAGGTTGTCAAGAGGATTGTAAACAGACGGCATTCAGCTTGGAGCCAAGAAAACAGCATGGTTGGGAGCTGGTATGGGGAACCTCTTGGAGCTGCTCCTTGCTATGTCAGGCACCAAGACTTAGAATAGCCACAATCATTGTTAAGTATTCAGATGGAGCTGAGAAAATGGCCCCTGGCTGTGGCCCAGGCCTTGCCACCAGAATATTCCCAGCATCAGGATTTATGCCACCTTTGATCTATCCTGTCCCAGCCTGAATCTTCTGCATAAACTATTTCTTTGTTGACTTGGAGGCTCTGGCTGCCCCAATGAATGTTTGACCCCAATCATGACCTGGGTTTTCTACTTTGCCTTCCCTACCATCTCCACATCTGCTGAGCATCTGGGTGCATTCTGCTCACTCCTGGTAGTTGAGACTGGCCCCACATTTTCCAGTGTTGATTCTGGCCCCCACCTGTTTGTGAACTGACTTAGGCTAAGCATTGTGAAGTCCTGTGAGGGAAGGAGATTGGGTGAATTTAGCCTGGAGGCTCTGGCCAAGGTGCCAATCTGGGGCAGTTTCCAGTCTTTGCAACTCTACCCTTAGTCCTTTCCTGTTTGTCATTTTTAAAAAACATGTTACCTTTATTTTATTTACTCATTTATTTATCCTTATGTGGTGCTGAGGATCGAACTCAGTGCCTCACACATGCCAGGCAAGCGCTCTACCACCAAGTCACAGCCCCAGCCCCTCCTGTTTGTCATTTTCATGTCACTGCATAGATGAGGACAAAGAACACACGTTTAACCTATTTCAGATGACACAAATGAGAGAGAGAGAGAGAGAGAGAGAGAGAGAGAGAGAGAGAGAGAGAGAGATTATTCTTCAGAGGATCACTTTGAGATCCAAATAGTTCTCAAAAGGAACCAGAACTTAAGTGGATTTTTCACCTAAGTTTGAGCAGAAGTCCACAAACATTTCTAAGTTCCCTGTATGATGCCAGCAGCTACCTGTCTTTGTCCTTAAGGATATGGACACTCTTTCTAATTGTGTGAATGATCTGGTGGAAGGCTGAGCTGCCTTTCATGGTAGTGAGTGTTCTGCCTGCCCAGGTTGCACCCTAATCCATTCCAGGAATAATCTAAAGGGGACTCTGCCTGAAGGGAAAGGAAGGAAGATTGTCTCTGTCATATACTTTATCTACATAACTCATTTGATTCTCATGTCCCTAAAAGCAGATACCTTGAGAACATTCTTTCTTCCCCTCCTCTTTCTTCCCTCCCTCCCTTCCTTCCTTCCTTCCTTCCTTTCCTCCTCCTCCTCCTCTTCCTCCTCCTTCTTCTTATTTTTATTTTATTTTATTTTATTTTTGCAGTACTGGGGATTGAACTCTGGGGGGGCTTTACCACTGAGCTACATTCCCAGTACTTCAAATTTTTCATTTTGAGAGAGGGTCTTGGTAAATTGTGGAAGCTGGCTTCACACAATTTGTGATTCTCTTGCCTAAGCCTCCTGCACTGTTGGGACTATAGGTGTGTCCCACCATACCTGGTTCTATTTCATTGATTCTAAGACACACATCGTTCCATCCCCTCCAATCCAACATTTTTGAGATTGGGTCCCAGATCATAATTGATGCCATATTAAAGTTGCTATCAGCCAGGTGGCAGTCTCAACCTGATGATGGGAAAACTCCCCATGGAGACCTTCTGGTGAGATCAATAAAACCTCATTGACTCAGGCAGATGCAGCTTCTCTTGTGTAGAAGAGGCAGCCAGGGCCCTGGAAGATGAAGGACCTCAGCTGCCTGACATTTGGGCCATGCCACTTTAGGTACTAAACTGCTGCTTTTAACCACTGGCCCCTGGATAAACTGCACCAGAATAGTCTGTGGGGCTTTAAAAAATAATCAGATCATAGGGTCTCTTATAGAAATAACAATGCTAAAGGCAGGGATGGAGCCTGGGAGTCCAATTGGTTTAACTTTATCAGGGGATTCTAATTGATGGCCTGTCTATGAACTACTAAAATTGATGGCTGTTCAGTCTCAGAGCTAAGATGCTGAGGTTTCAGCTCAGTGGTTTTGATCCTGAAAGTGAGAGCCTGGGCTCCACTTCACCGTAAGCCTATGTGGAGAGTCAGTGAGGCAGGCAACAGTGGTCAGGCCATGACCCTAACCAGGCCTCTGCTTCTCTCCGCCTCACTTGAAGGTTTCACAGTGCCACTCCAGCTGGAAAAGCTTGACTCTGTAGAAGAGGGAGGCTCTGTGGTCTCTGGCCCACCTCCCCTCAGTGACTGGGGGTAAGGGTTCTTTGACCTCTGTTTCCTTTCCCCAGGGAAGGGCGATCTGATTGGCTGTGAGCTGCCCCAGCGGGAGCAGGTGGTAAAGGCCAATGCCGACGTGAAGGGGCTGACCTACTGCGTCCTGCAGTGCCTGCAGCTGGCTGGCCTGCACGATAGTCTTGCACTGTACCCTGAATTTGCCCCACGCTTCAGCCGTGGTCTCCGAGGGGAGCTCAGCTACAACCTGGGTTCTGGGGGAGGCCCTGCAGAGGTGAGGGTGCTGGGTTACGTGCATGGAGGGGCTGGGGAAGGCATGGCCCAGTGTGAAAGTCTGTCCTTTCACATCCACATAATCTTTTAGAAGTCAGCAATCAAGCCCGGCCACCCCTGTGTCCCTGCTTGGCCCATCTGAGACAGCTCGCCCCTGTCCAGAGCAAAGTCAGGTTAAGGAGGGCAAGTGCACTGGTAACAAATGAGCCTCATTGACTAATGGAGGGGTTGTCAGGCACCTGGGCAGGGGATAGGCACAATCCTCCAGGCTGTTTCTGGAGAGCACCGTGGCTTTCTCTGCTTTTTCATGGCAAAACAGGATTGTTCTGAGGGCTTTTGAATTTCCCTGGATAATATCACTAGTTCTAAACCAGTTTTGAGTACTGTAGTCTCTTGGATAGTTCTATTAGCTTGAGGGGTGGTGTATTCACATTTGGGTGGAATTTTGAGGGGCAGCTAATGCCTCAAGGGCTTGGTAGCTTTATGATGGCAGTAGCAAAACAAGTCACCCCTCCTAATGGGGCCTCTTCCTCTGCAGAGTGGAAGACACTGGGTATTCTGTTTAATAAAGATGGCTCATCCATTCTAGGGGAGATGATCTCTTTGCAGGAGAGATGAATGGGACACAACAGTTGCCATGCATGTCTATTTCCTGTCCCCAGGTAGATACCAGCTCCTTGAGTGGTGACAACACCCTCATGTCTACACTGGAGGAGAAAGAGACAGATGGGGAACAGGGCCCCACAGCCTCACCGGCCACAGCAGATGAGCCCTCCAGCCCTCTGCTGTCCCCTGGCTGCACCTCCTCATCCTCGGCTGCTAAACTGCTATCCCCTCGTAGAACTGCGCCCCGGCCACGTCTAGGTGGCAGGGGGCGACCAAGCAGGGCAAGAGCTTTGAAGGCTGAGGCTAGTGCTTCTGCTCACCCACGGACTCTGGAGGGACTGCGGCTGCCCCCCATGCCATGGAATGTGCCCCCAGACCTTAGCCCCAGGTAAGCAAGGCATTGGGCCCATGGCAGGGTGAGAGTGGTAAGAGAGAGGTCCCAGCCAGGCATACCCACACTCTGAGCACCCATCCTCGCATCTTCACTTCTCCCTGCCTGCGTGGTCCAAGCTTGCCCCATCTGGGAAGACTTTCTTGACTCCTCTGTCTTCACTTGTTAGTGTATGTCACACCCTGCTCTAAGTCTGAACCCTTGTTTCATATTGCTCAAATTGTCTCCCCTGCTCAAAGGCAAGCTTGTAGGGGAAGGGACGGTGTGTTAGCTTTTTCTTGGAACCTCAAGGGTCCCCTGTCCAGCTCCATGCTGCTGCAGTCTCTGTATATAGGTACTGGAGCATCCTGTGCCCTGTAACACAATAGTGGTCACCTGTCAACTGTTTGTTGATTTGTTGGGTCCACAGGGTTGTAGATGGCATTGAGGATGGTTGTGGCTCTGACCAGCACAAGTTCTCTTTCCGCGTGGGTCAATCTGGCCTGGAATGTAGCAGCAGCCCCTCCCCTGGACCAGGTACTAGGCCCAGGGACAGAGTATGTTGGTGGGGTGGCCCCTTTTCCTTGTGGAACAGCACTGTTAGAGAAACTGGTCAGGGGCAGACTCTGCCCAGAAGCCTTCTTGCCATTACCTACCTCTGCACCACTGGGCAGGGAGTTTGGTTGTGAAGACCAATCTGGGCCCTGGGTTTGGATTCCTATTCTGTCAGTTTTCTAGCAGTGTGAACTTGGCTTCTCTGGCTTCAGTTTCTTGTTTTATAAAATGGGTGTGCATGTTAAATAAGATACTATAACTAAACCCTTAGCTCAATGCCTCGTTCACTGGGAGGATAAAGAGATAGGGATCCAGGATTGATAGTGGTTCTAGGCCAGGTGAAGCAGCTCTGGGAAGTGGACAAAGTAGAGAGGTCTCAGGAATGTCCATTTTCCTGAAGAACAGAATAAGGGACAGTCACAAAGAACAACTTCCTGAGGGGAGAAGGGTACAGGGCAATGTGACCCAGGTCTGTTGGAAAGGGTTTTCCTGCCCTTGGCAGTTTAGGCAAAATTCAGTTCCTTGGGCAAGGCAGAAGTAGTTATTCTTGAGTGAGGTCTAACCAGGTGTGTTCTAAGGGGGACAAAAACCTGGACACTGTGCTGATTCTCATTAACCCCAATCCTATCCGCAGAGAGTGGCCTGCTCACTGTCCCCCTTGGGCCCAGCGAGGCAAGGAATACGGATACACTGGACAAGCTGCGGCAGGCGGTGGGTGAGGGACAAGGTGGGGACAGGTAGGGGAAGGGGCAGGCACTATACTACTTGATACCCAATGTTGCTGACCTCACCTTCTCCTGCCCCTGAAGGTGATGGAGCTATCTGAGCAGGTACTACAGATGCGGGAGGGACTGCAGTCACTTCGCCAGGCTGTGCAGCTTGTCTTGGTTCCCCATGGGGAGGGCCCATGCCCTAGGGCATCAGGAGAGGGGCCTTGCAGAGGTACAGTCAGTGCCTCTGGGCTCCTGCAGCCTCTCCGTGTGGACACTGGGACATCCTCCTACCTACAGCCCCCAGTTGGCTCTGTCTTAAGTGGGACCTGGCCCCACCCTCGTCCAGGGCCCCCTCCCCTCATGGCACCCTGGCCCTGGGGGCCCCCAGCATCTCAAAGCTCCCCCTGGCCTCGAGCCACAACTTTGTGGACCTCCACCTCAGACTCAGAGCCCCCTGGCTCAGGAGAACTCTGCTCTGAGCCTAGCACCCCAGCTTCGCCTCCTCCTGAGGAAGGGGCTGGGACTGGGCCCCCAGAGCCTGTGAGCCAGGCAGAGACTACCAGCACTGGAGAGCCCCCACCAGGATCAGGGAGCCGGGCCTTGCCCTGGGACCCCCACAGCCTAGAGATGGTGCTTATTGGCTGCCATGGCCCTGGCACAGTCCAGTGGACCCAGGAAGAAGGGACGGGGGTTTGACTGCCAGCCCAAGGTCAGTGCTACAGACATGCCAACCTCTGCTGCTCTGCCCAATCTCAGGACTCCATGCTGCCCGCTGGCTCAGGGTAGGGAACCAGAGACATGAGGGGGATTTGGCTCCCTGACTCTTAGGAGTGGGCTGGAGCCTCAAAAGCAAACCCCAGAGCCGAGAATCTGCAGGTCCCTACTCCTGGAGCCCTTCTATAGCCTGCTCTGTTGTTGACCTTGTCACCCTCTGCGGGCTGAGGGCAGAGGCCTGAGGACAAGGAGAGATTCCGCCCTCTCTTGCATGTGCCCCATCTCTACCTGTCCTTACATTTTTTATATTAAAAAAGCATAATAAAAAAAGAAACTACTTTGGAATTTGGTGCTTTTTATTTACAAAAGAAAAACAATAAAGAAATCTGAAGCTAATCCTCTGGAGACACAAGATTGAAGGTGGCAATCAGGGGAGAGGGAGGGTGGTCTGCAGAGAAGACGGGGAGGGGCTCTGGCTCTAGGGAAGCACAAGGGTCCCAGCCTCTCCTGGCTTCCCAATGGCCAGCCCCACCTTCCTCAAAGACGCAAATCAATGGGCCAGCAGTTGGGTCTCCTGTTCCCCACCTGGGCAGGTTTTTCCAGGAGCCTGAGTTCCCAGCTTAAAGGAGCTGGAATAACAGCAAACTGAGGCCAGAGAGAACCCAGGGCTCTTGGTACCCTGTCCTCTTCACTGTGGTGTGATCTTGGCAGCCTCTGCCCGRATAAGGGCAATGAGGTCCTGGTTGATGAGGAAGACAAATCGCAGGCTGGCAATCTGGTGGGGAGAGGACAGTGGTGGGAAAAACCAGGCCCATGTACGAGCTCACCAAGCCCCCACCTCATCCTGGCTTCTCTACCTCCCTCATCTCACCTCCACCACAGAGTTGTTGCTGAGGCGCCATTTGGAGCCACACAGTACAGGCCGTCCATCAATGTAAATGGGCCGTCGGCCCTCGTTGGCAATGAAGAAATCACCATTGTTCTTCAACTTGATAACACCTGTGGAAGTAGTGAAGCAATGGGATAATGGGATGGGGAAGGGCCAGAAGAGAGCCAGGAACCTCCAGCCACCATCTCTGCTTCTTGGAGATGGGGTATTAAGGTACGTAGGACTCCCGAGTTAGAGACCTTAAAATGCTGGCTCCTTCAGCCTGCCTCAGCTGGTCCACAAGGATATCAAGCCTCAGGGCTGGAAAGGGCAATGAAAGACTGGGGGGAACATCCCACACTGCTTCCCATTGAGGCAGCAGTATGTGAAGGGTACCTTGCTTTCGGGAGATCTTCCAAGCTGGACCCTCCAGAGACAGGTCCACATCAATCTGGTTATCCTTGGTTGCTCTGCCCAGGGTGATCTGGAGAAATGAGGTAGGTGAGGGTTGGGCCCTGAGGAACGGGGGATGGAGTCCACACAAGCCAAGGAAGATGAGAAAAAAAGGGCAGTGACAGAGGAGGGATGCTGAGGAGGGATGCTTAGGAGGGTGAGGATGGGGAAGGCCTATCTCACCTCACGTGAGCGCATAAGATACCGCACCATGCGGCCCCGTAGCACTGCCAATGTCTGGTTGTCAAAGTCTGGAGAGCTCATCCCTGGAGGAAGAGCAGGATTAGGAAGGGCCCATCCAAGTGCAGAGTGGAAAGCAGGGAACAAGGGCAAGATCTATGAGTAACAGGAGTCAAGGCCTGGGAAAGCAGGGCATATCCAGCTAGGCAATAGGAGGGGCTCAAAGGGGATAAAGGACGCCCAAAAGGGAGCCTCTGGTCCCCTGGCCTCCTCACCTGTGATGCTGTCCACTAGCACCTGCCACTTATGCAGTTCCTGTTCCAGCTGTCTTATCTCTCGCTTCTGGCGTCGGTCAGCCACTGTGAGCTCTGAGGTAAGGTGGGGTGGTAAGGACACTTTGAGGCCATAGTACTTTGTACAGGTCTTCTCTTATTTCAGGCAAGAGCTTCTATCCCTTCCCTGTTTCCACCAGAGTACACTTACCATGTTCCAGGACTTCATCTCGCATGTCCCTGAAGGATGAGAGAAGAATGAATCAAGTCCACTTTCAGCTCACTTGCTACTTGGCTCATCAGGGCAATCCTGACACCTTTGGCCAAGTGGCCCAGAAGGCTGTTTATCCAGCTTTGGCCCAGCCTCTTTCCCTGGGATTAGGGTGGGGGATAAGGGAAAGGAAGAGAGCCTAAAAGCCCCTCCCCACTCCCCACAGGAGCGGGTGCAGCAGGGAGGCCAAGCACAACAGCTGCAACTGGAGCCTGGGGGCTAAGTTGGGCTGGGCAGCATGGGGTGCTCTACCTATGGGTGACTCAGCTCTCTCCAGCCCTGCCTGAGGCCCCAGTCACTCACTTGAGCTTATTGTCATCAATCAGGTCTTCTGCATCGGAGAAGTTCAGCACTTGGTCCCCTTTTGGAAGCGGCTGCACTGAACAAATGACAGAGGAAGAGTGAGCACCAAGACCCCTACTTCTAGTGCATTCCTAACGAGGCCCCATTCTAATTTAACTCATGGGCAGAGATGGTTCTAGATTGGGAGGAAATCAAAGCTGACCTTTTCCATGGGCTTTTGGGTATGGGTGTGTGAACAGATCTCAGTTACAAAGCCTTGAACTAAGCAGAGAAAATACTACACTTAGCTCTATTTTCAAATAAGGAAACAGATACAAAGGACAGTTTACACTATTTGACCCTACTGTGGGGCACAGCCAGAATTCAAGTCTCTCCAGATTCCAAATCCAAACTGCTCCTTCCCACCACATCACATACTCCCCAGCTTTCCTGCCTTGCTGTTGGAGGGCTAAGAAGCATATGAAGCCAGAAAAGAGCTGCCCCACGTCCAGCCAGTATCTAATTTAGTCTGTGGGTCATGACTGATCGTGGGTCATGACTGATCATGGGTCATGAAATTAGTTTCATTTGTTTTCAAAGAATGAAATAGAATAGGAAAATATCAGAGCCCAACCAATATGTTCATTAAATGTTTTCTACTTTTTTTTTTTTTTCCTTTGGTACGGTACTGAAGATTGAACCCAGGGTCTCATGCATGCTAGGCAAACACTTTATCACTGAGCTACATCCCCAGCCCATTTTTCAACTTTTTTCTAGACAAGATATAAAAGGGATTGGGATGCCCCAAATCTGAGAACTTAGGCCTTTATAGGCCAGCTGTTCCCAGAACTGCAGTGACTATTCTGTGGCAGGCAGTGGTTGGACTGCTATTGGCTAAGGAAGGAAGCAGTATGCCTAGGAGCACAGGTGCTTTTTCTCTCTGCTGCTTAGATGAGACTGTTAGGAGACTGGGGTGGTCAACCCCACTATGACCCTCCCTGCCAGCACTGCCTAAAATTCTACCACTCTAATGTGCAACTGACTTGACAGCTAATTGGTGAAGACCACATGTTCCCTGGGACTCCCAACATTATGCATCAAATCCCCACAGGCAAAGACTCCAAAGAAAAGATATAACCTTTAAGATAAGGCTTTCAGTTAATAAAATAACTTTTAAAATAGTGACAAAGGAACTAGATTTAGCAGTAAAAATAAATTTTACTCAGTATCTGTTTTCTCTGGAAGAATTCAGTGATAGCAGAGTCTGGGGAAGCAGCAGAGTTCTGGAAGCTGCAGGAATAAAGAGGGCTGTTCTTGGACCCATAAAACCAGATGTCCTCAGGAGGGAAAGATACAGCCTCCCTCTGTGAGGTAGATTCTCTAGAATCCTCCTGCAGGAGTATCTTTTCCTAACCAGAAGCTGCAGGACCTGGTAGAGAGGTGAAGGGCACACCTGAAGCTTCATTTCCAGAAAAGTGTGAAAAACCTTGTGAAAGGCAGTCTCAGTGGTAGTTAGGCAGGAAGAGTGCATCTGTACCATGGAAATCAAAACCTGAATCACAAATCTCACCAAAAGGGTGCTGCAGTTTCATCAGACTGATTTCCTAGCATTTATCATTAGGAAAGAGAGTAAGTTTGGTACTGAGGGAAGAGAGAAGAYGGAGTGCATTCTGACCATAGGAGAAGAGACAGGTGGACTGTGTCAAGTCCCAATTGAGACCTTCTGAATGACCTAAAGAGCAACTGATAGCACAGAATGCTTGCTGGGTAGAGAGGAGGGCAAAGAAAGAGAAGAATGAATGCAGAGAGGCAAAGGGCAGGAAAGCTTAGAAAAAGAGGTGGGAAACAGGGGAAGGGAGAGCAGAAATGGAGGCTTTAATATCTTGTTCCTGTTTGAATGCTAGCCATAAAAAAAATATACTAATGCAGCCAGGTACAGTGGCACATACCTATAATCCTAACTACTCAGGAGACTGAAGCAGGAGGATATCAAGTTTGAGGATAGCCTTGGCAACATTGCAAGATCCTGCCTCAAAAATAAAATTGAAAAAAAGGACTAGAGATATAGCTCAGTGGTAGAACATCCCTGGGTTCAACCCCAGTACTACAAAACAACGACGAAACTAATCTATTTATGTAATAGCAAAATGCAAGAAGAAAAGACAAAAAAAAAAAAAAAAGAAAGAAATGGTAGATGACTCTATTGGGACTTTTTGCGCAGGATTTCAGGCAATTTTGGATACCCTTAACACGATGCCAAAGACCATTCCTGATGCTCTCTCCCCTATCTGGGAGGAAGTCGTTTTTGTTGCAAAGTGAGGTGAATAAGACACTGGGAGCCACTGAATAACCTGTTATAGGGTACTAGAAGTCAGCTGTGCCCAGAGCACTTCCTATACACACTCAAGCATATCCACTTGCTCTGCCAGTTCCTGGGGTGTTACCTGTCTGGTCCTCCAGCAGGTAATACTGCTTCATGAGTTGCCAGTGTGCCTGCAAGGCCTTGGCAGTTCGGGCCAGGTAGAAGGCATCAGGGTGTCTGTGCAGTAAGTCCTGAAAGGTCTCCAAGGTGGGCTGGCTGGTCTGGAGGCAAGAAACATGCTCTATGAACCTGGGTTTCCTCACTCCTACCTCTGCCTTCCTGCCATTCCCCCTA